TTTCAGTCAGGTCAATAGACCTCCTTTGGAAATTAATTTCTGGTTGTCACCAGCAAGTTACTGTTTAGCATATCCCGCAGGCCTTATGATCCTATACTTCTTCTCTGATCATAAATAAGTCTTGTAGGAGATCTATTATCCCCTAGTATAATGTGCTATTTCTTCAGTATGCTGAGATTAGTAAGACATGTCATTACTAGTCTGTCACATTCTTAATTAGCTAAAACTTCACGTGTAGGATGGTCTTGAAATGTTTCTATAAAGCTTAAGGAGAAATTTGTAGAAAGGGGGTATTAAATCTTCTAAATCCTTACAGCTTTCCTTTTTGCTTTATCACTAGGAAGTTGATTGAATAATTCTTCTCTTTTCTTCTTTTTTATCTTTATCATTAGTATTTACATTACGTTTCGTACTTTTATTATTACAAACCTTCCAGACCGAGTTTTAAATTTGCTTCAATGTTAACTTGCTGATACTATGCGTCTCAGTGCTAATTTATGCATGCTGCAAATACTTAAGTACATATTTAGCCTGATATCATGTAAATTTATATTTTTTGGATCTTGCTGTTAATTTTTTATATTTTGACTCATTAATAAACTTTTCCATACTCTCCGTAACATAAAGTTCTTTATAGTATTTCCTCATTGCTGAGCTATTTCGCAAATTTCTTCAGCTTCTTGGCTAATTCTTTTTGAATCATTTACTCCATTGTTATGGATATTTACATCCAGCAAAACGCTATAGCATTATCTAATACCTTTGCGATGAAGAAAAATGCTAAAGCAAAAAGAACAAGTAATTATAAAGGGTGCTATAGATGACCTATAACTAACCATCTTACGGGAGCTAACAGAGTTGTTTTTTAATTTTGATGGTTTTTGTGGTGCATTACTGTTGCTGACATAATTAGTTTAAAAATATATTGACCGCTTATTATATTGCATTTTTGATAATTTATCAATAAAACTTATGACGTTTCTCAAGAATTTGTTGCCATTTTATTTTTCGTATGCATTTGGTAATATATCTACTTTTCATTTATTCATGGTTAAACTACCACTTTATTTTTCTATCTTTTATATTATTTTAATACCACCTTTTTCAAATTTGCTCGAGAGGCATAAGAAATCGAATATCCTGATATTGCAGAAAAAGAAACATGCTGTAATTACAACATAAAGAAAAACTCTTTTAAAAGCTTATTATATTGTTTATACTTGTTATCATGGGTTGTGAATATT